GTTGACTGCAGGATAGTTCCTAATAGGGATGCATCGATACCAAGTACCGTACTCGGTACAAGTACAAGTACAGATACTTTTCCAGCTCCAAGACTAGACTAGAGAAAAATTCAAAAGTTAGGAGGAAGCTGTCATTTGTAAGGAGCACACGGAGCTCCTGGGATTTGTACATCTTTGTTTTAATGTATGATTTTGTTTTTATAAATAAAAATAAAGGGATGCACCTATACCATTTTTGCAAGTACAAGTACTGATACTTGCCCAAGTACTTACAAGTACGAGTACTGATACATTTTTATTTATTGCCATTTGACAGTTTTTCTAAAACAATACAGACCAATGATTTCAGGACAGTGGTGGAGTGCCAGGTCCCAGCTGCAAGCGCTGCAACGCTGGTAGTTCTCATGAAAATGCCAAATATCGGCACTGGTATCTGAAAAGTATCGGTGCATTCCTAGTTCTTAATAGAACCGGATCACAGCTGGGTGTATAAACCCATATATCTTAGATTCTTCCTCAAACCAGCTAGTGACACCCATTGCTTTGTAAACAGGAGAGAAACCATAAGTTGGCAGATTTTTGATATTAGAGCACAAATGGTGAAATAATTATTCTCTATCCTTTAAAGAAGACGGAATGATAACTTATTTGTCACACAGATTTGGCAAAAGATAGTGAACGCTTTCAATCTCTGTAAGTGTTCATTATTACTCACAAGGGGATCACAACACTATTTGATAGTTGCAAGTGATGCTGGAATCTGTCAAATCAGTTGTAAAACCTGGAGTAATTATTCACTGTCCTTCCACCTTTGAGGCCACAATGCTTTCTTATCAGGTTCAGATAACTTTGTATGTGCATATGATGTTGCTATTAGTAAAATGGACACTCACAATAAATTACAGACAAGGAGGGAAAAATCAGTGGAATGGATTTCTTCTATTAATAAGGTTTGGGAGCCATGGCTGACAGTCAGTAATCATGATTCATTTTTCAGAATATTGATGTATGCTCCCCTCTCTTCCTCGTTGCCAAGGACATGCTTAGTAAGTTGTTTTGCCTGCATAATTTCTCTTCTTAAATTTGTCATAATGAGAATGATACCTCTTAATTTTGTTCTTAGTTTATTAATTCCTTTCTCTCTGCACCATTGCCTTGCCATAAAAAAAATGAATGGACAATAAAGCCTGCAATTACTGAAAGTGTCACACTATACGACAATGTGTATGATGAGATTCTCCGGCACTGCATAGTATCTACGCAGCCAGTTTGTTCTAGGTAAATGCATCCAATTCTAAAATGCTAGTTGAATGGCCGTCATGCTGATCCCCTTCTCTGGAATGAGCATGCATACCAGGAGATTTGACTTAAAGCCTATCTATGGGGAAACAAAAGAATCCCTTTGCAGTGGGGCCCACCCTGCACTGCAAGGGTCCACTGCTTGTTTAAGTCTAGGGGACCGGTGTAAAGCAATTATACTCACCTGATCCCCGCTCCTGCTGGCTCCAAGACTGGAGCCCGCAGCTATTTCCCTTCCCCACTGTGGCAGTCGGAGGCCCTGTTGATGTCATGATGTCTAATGCAGGGTCCATCATCAAAGAATTGCATTAAGCAATAATATTTTACATTGGACTAAAACAAATGACATTTACACCCTGCTAATTAGGGGACATAAATGGAACCCTATGTGATTATGGGACTCTAGTGAGATATTCTGAAACCTATAGCTCCACAGCGACAGCACAGCTCCAGGGTGCTTGCTTTATGGTTTAAAATATGATGCAATCAGGATGTAAAAAGCTATAGCATAAAACTTTAGAAATACTGCCAGTTACCTATCTTTGTCAGCAATCAAATGATCCAGCTGCAATAAAAATATATGAATCTTTGCCCAAATGTTTTGCGGCAGAGTCTTTCTTTTATTACCTTGCTTTGTGCTATTTTGGAAGAAAGTCTAAAAAGACTTCTTGAGGCATTTTTCGTATTCTTTCTGAATGCCTATTTTTATTTCCTATATTTAACCTGATCTACACATATATGTCCCTGTGTATAACTCAATAAACTCTACCATGTCTTTGTAGATCTTTAGATGGAAAGGGTAAAGATATGCCCAGGTCAGACTGGCATTTTAAGCCCCATGTATTTTGTAATTATACCACTGCTCAGAGGATCACTTTTGTAGAGTGCTGGGACAAGCCTTTTCAGTGCCTAAGGCAAGGTCAGCAGGAAGTACTGCCACCACATCCTGCATAATGTTAATTTGCCAGGCTGGTTGTTAGATCCTCATTTCCATGTTGTCTTATTTGATGTTTGTCTCTCACTAACAGTCAGGGTTCTCTACATGTCATGCAATACTGTATAGTTGTTGCCTAATTGCCTGAGAACTGCTTCTGTCACACAGGATAGAGGGTTCCCTGCTTGTCCCACATGCTACAGTCTGGTACAACACAACCTGTCCGAGTACCGCTCCTGTGACACATAATGGAGACATCTCACAACCCCTGGAAGTGGGCCAGAATCCAGGATTAGCATTTTTACAGCAAAATGTCTACAAATCTGGGCACACAGTAAGGTGTAATTGACATCATTACACTCACTTCATTACTGCAAAGGTTGAACTTGATGGACATTTGTCTCTTCTTAGCTGAAATAACTAGGTAAATACAGAGTTGTATATTAACTGTACACGGTAATATTGCAAATACTAGTATGTATATTAAGATGGGATTGCACCATCAAAAAGTCCTTTACAAATTACACTTTTCGGGTACAGTACTGAAAAGGGAACACTGGTTGTGATGTCATGTCTTCTTTATCTAACATCAACTGGGAACTAAGCCTTGCCCTTATTAGTCATAAGCACCTTTATGGCGCAAATTTTGTCCAGAAGGTGCTTTATCAACACATTATGTCTGTACATGAGACTTAAGGTGCCCCTACACCTTGCGATTATCGTACGATAATCGCGGGAAATCCCGCGATCGTACGATAATCGCAAGATGCATGGAAGGCGTGCAAGCGTTTTTACTGTACGGTCGCACGTCTTTTGTCGAACCAGCATGCTTGAAAACCCGCCGAGAATCGTACGATTGTTGGTGGGTTTCTAGCCTGGTCGTTCGACAACTGCAGTATGGGCACACTGCCCGTTCAGAATTGCGGTCATCGGAAGCCCGTCCCTCAGCGGGGTGGGCTTTCGATGATCGCAAGTACGATCTGACTGTCCAAGATGGGCAGATCGTACAAGCTTTTAATAAGCTTACGACCATCGCAAGGTAAAAGTCTTGCGATGGTCGTAAGGTGTATGTGCACCTTTAAAGTAGACCTGTCATAAACCTGAGCAAAAAAAAACTGGTAATGAAAAAAATGTAAACTTTTCTGGTTCAATTCTGTGCCACAGGTTTACAAAAGCAATAGCAGTGCCACACAAAGTGGTGTAGTGTTCAGAAAAGTCTATTTATTAATTCTTAATCAGGATAACACAAGATATTACAAACAACACGTTTTAGGGGTCACAACAGTGTACTTCTATTAGGGCTTTGGATACTCTGTAGAGGTGAATGGCATGACTCTAGAAAACTTGGAGAGTTCAGGAGATAAATAGCCTGTTAGCTTGTGCTATGCTTTAACAGCCAGTGATAAGCGATTTGCCAATACGGACTGCTGAAGCATAGCACAAGCAAACAGGTTATCTATCTTCTGAACTCTCTCTAGTGTCCTGACATCCAGCTTCACATGAAGGGGGACTTCTGCGACACCCAAAAGTGTTGGCTGTAACATCTTGCGACATCCCGATGAAGAATTAACAAATAAATCTTCCAATGCCAATACCTTTTATGGTGACAGCTGCTTTGTAGAGGTTTCCACTGACTACCTATTGCATTTCTGAGACAGGAACTAAAGAGAAATCTCCCGAATGATACACCGAAAAAAATAAACTGACAGAGGATTTATCCCTTCTTTATTCTATCCCAAATTTAAAAAAAGGCTATACAAATAAGGACTAGTGACCAGTATTGACTATGGTCTCCCTGCAGCTGATCGTTCCCCATTACTGACTTACAATTCCTTGTTTTGCACTGAGACTCTGTTTGGAGGTGACCATCTTGGTAGAGGCAGGGCTCTCGTGTCAGAGCCTCAAGCAAGGAGAAGAGTAAGCAACACAGCAGTGACATCACCAAATCTCTCCTGACACTAGCTCACAGGTAGCAGTGCCTTAGATGTCACACTGCAGATATACAGCTATGAGGTGGTATGCACAGGAGTGCCTAGGCACACTCACATTCCAGGAAGTGCACTGCTATTTTTTAGGAGAAATTTCAGACAAAACTTAAATTTTTATGGGTACTGCTTAGACACAATAACCATTTTTAGATGTTCCCCATAACATAGGAAATCTTCACTTCACTTCACTTCTCCGCATGCCCACTCAGCCCACTTTATGTTGATAGGCATGACTGAACAATCATGAGTAGTAAATAATTAGAACATTCAGGACTTCTGTGCTTTTTTATGAAAGGAACTACAGGTGAAACTAATATATGAGATAGACTCATTACATGCAAAGCAAGATAATTCAAGCCGTGATTTGTCATAATTGTGATGATTATGGCTTACAGCTCATGAAAACCCCAAGAACCCCAAATCCACAACCTCAAAAAAGTTGATTATTACATGCAATCAATAAAACAAGGATTGTACATAGAACAATATCGGGCCTCTGAAAAGTACAAGCATGCATATGTACTCAGTACTTGGTTTGGGCCCCTTTTGCAGAACTTACTGCAATTACTTTTGCACGATATTCTAATTATTCGAGTTTCACCTGTAGGTAACAATATAAAGGAAATTCACATATCGTATGTGCCATGTACTAAGACTATAGCTCTATCACCTTATGACCATAAGGCCCAGGACTAACCAAATAACCTACAATCTACTATGCAATCTCTCTCTTTCCAATCACTGATGGGACATGTTCTCCTTTTTCTTTTCTCCATTACCTGCTCTGTGAGATACCAGAACCTCCATCAGTCGTTGACCTTCTTCCAGAACCGCATCTTTTAATGCACAGTGACTGTCCACACTTTGCTTGAAGTTCTACAAAAGATCAAGAAAGAGTCAGGATGATAAACACATCTTCAAGTTATTATCCTAAAATCTTTGCACATACTGGACTTAGGCTAATGTGATTAGGTCTCCAAGCCCTCAGAAATACCATGTAAAGTGCCAATATGTCTTCAGTGTTTTTGGAACTACTGAAGTTAAAGTGAGACTCACCCCCTACCCCCATTTATACTTTTTGTGGATATGCTTAATGTGCCTTTATTTTACCTCAAATGTCTTAAATGAATTCATAGGGATACATATCATTTTAATAATTATATAATGGTTTTGTAATACTGGTGAATGTGTGCATGGAATATGCAAATTTATCTTTTCAAAAGTAAAAAACAAGGCTCCTTCCGAGCCACCTTTGAAGATGTGAAAAAATCTAGTTCTTTGGCAGAGGAAAACCACTGTGCACCCACCCGTGTACCAGGCAACGCCCCCATAAATGTGCCCTCTCAAGCCCAATAATCTCATTTAAATAACAACATTTTAGTTTTGCATGTGAAATACTAGGTGCTTTGAGGGTCACTGCTACACCCAGGAAAGAATCTAACAAATCCAGCTACTCTGTGAGTAGACGCATGACTGCACCCGCCAAACATAGTCATTTTCATATGTAAAATTTGTGTGACGCATAAGGAAAGAAAAGATTTGCACAACACTGCATGTAAAAAACATCTGTATCCTAGAGACAAATATTTAAAGCTGACTTGTAGGTGTATAAAAAGTAACAATTAATTTCTGTATGTATTAATTAAAACATCAATAAATGCATCTTTAAATTTAGCTAGTGCAAATATTTGAATTTGACTTAATATTTGACTCTGCAAGCCAGCATCATATTGGGAGAGGGTGGGGCAGCAGTCGGGACCAATCAGGTATCCTGTATGCACATGTGCATGACTTCATCATTCTGCCACTCCTTTACTGTCTAATCATGGGCTGGGGGCAGGGAGATGATCTAGCTGTGTTGCTTTGAATACAAATTGAAGGATCTGTGCTGTATTTTGAAACTGTAAGAATGTGATCCAAACAGGAAGTACAAAATGATGGTATGCCAACATGGCAACAGGCGCCTGTGATTATGTTTTGTTCCTTCCTATGACAGTAGGTAGGGTAGAAAGGGATCCTTCATGGCCCTGAAAGTTGGTGTTATGCCATTTATGAAGCCCTAGCTTTTATTTTCACTCTACATTGGTGTGCAGGCTTCCCTCTTCATCCACCTGACACTACATGGAAGGAGTCTAGGCTGCACCAAAAAAACAAGGAACCTCTTTAATTTTTTTTATTATTGTATTATTAGCAAAATCAATATCAATGGGCACCAAAAGCTATCTCGAGCACAGAAATAATGCATAGAGTTCCATAAATCTATAAATACCACAACTGTGGTCACAGCCATGTCCTGTCTAGCCTCTTAGGCCTAAATACAGTGGCTACTCCTTCTATCTCAAATGGTGCATTACTGCAAGCTGGACTTGCAGTGATTCAATTCTGGCGAGTTGTATGAATTAAAGGAACTAAACAATTAACCAAAAAAACAATAGAAAAACAGCACTCAACCTTGAAAAGACATTATCTCTGGGAGTAAAAATTGTGAAAATGGGGGATTTATTTGGAATTGCAATAGGAATCCCCAGAATACAAAGTGGTTCTTGCTGTACAGTTGGTTGGTCTCCGGGATCCTATGATATGGTAGGGAATGACAGAAAACGCTATAGGTGAATTTAAAAGCAGATTTAATGCCTTTATTTCAAGAGCTAACATCTTCAGCTGCTCTCATCAGTGCAGTTATTGATTCGGGCTATAGATGTTGAGGTCAGGAAGGAATAGCTCTCAACCACTGTGAGGATAAATTGCCAGCTGCCTCATTTGGGTTTTTGTTTCATCATCTTTTTCTGGATCAAATGCCCTGGAACAGTGTTAAAATTTAAAAGAAATACTTTGATAAGGTGTATTTATGTTGAGATGGTGTACTAGTAATGTAGACATGCAAAAGAATGACAGTTAAAAAGTGTCCTTACTGTGTGAAGAGTCAAATTGATATTTCTGTAAATGCAGTTTATTAAAAAAAACAGTATTGCACATCTTTAAATATGCCAGTTAACCCTGTAATGTAATTATTTGCACAAGAGAAAGACAAGTTTCCAAGGAGTGAAACTAGAATGACCAGAGAGTGGTAGAGTCTGTTGTTTCCTCCCCATCATCTCACCAGGTGGGTATGCAGGTAAAGCTGTAGGGCCTCTGTTTCAGGCTGCGGAGGGGTCCAGTTCTCTGTAGCTTCCATTGCATCTTGTAGCCAGCGGATGAATCTGTCAAGCTTGGACACAAAGCCCTGAGATGAAAAAGAAAGTCAGTTGTAGATACAACAATAGCACCATCTGCTGTTCTTTTATGGCGTTAACAAAGGATATAAAAATTAATTTGACAAGGCAATGCAAAGAGCCCTGGTGATAAAGTATCCATTGAAAATGAACAATTAGGAGTTATGAATAGTTTAGAGGGCCAGTCAGTGAAAGATTATCACAGATTGGTTGTTATGGACTACATTATAAGATACTGACAGCACTTTCATACTCTTCTTTGGCAGTATTTAAAGCCCTAATATAGTCAGAACATTTAAAGGGTTATTCACAGAAAAGCCGAAGGATCCAGCCGTAGCTTCGGCTGATCCTTCAGCTCGCTTCGGCCGCCTGAGCCCTTCAGTTCAGTCGAACCGAAGGGCTGCGGCACGGGCTATTCACAATAGCAGGTACAGCTGCCGAAGGCAACCGAGTTTAATGCATATGCTTTGGCTCGGCTTGGCTGAGCAGTAGTGACAGGTGACACATGGAGAAAGGTCGGCTGAAGCCAACCGATCTCCACACAAATGGCAGCTGGGCGGAGCCAGCGGGGATCTCCCAGCTCGCTCTGCCCAGTTATAATGACAGATCAGCATCCCCAAATGACCTGGGGACACCGATCTGTCATTAAACAACAACAGTTGGATTTTTTTGCCCGGTATCTGCTAGAAGACTCTGGCAGGTGACGGCCAATAGTAAACAGTTGGGCGGAACTAGCGACGATGTCACCGCTAGCTTCGCCCAACTGTTTCTATTATTCTATCAGATGCTTGATTATGCAGCGGGAGCTCTTCACGTGCGGTTGGTTTGGTGTGCGTCGTTTTTTTTGTAATGATTTTTTATCTAATTATTTTTTTTATTTTGCCAAGTTGCCGTCATTGTGGACAACGCTGGACGTCGTGATTGACCCTTAATTACGTCGGTGGATTTTTTTTTTTTTTAAATAAAAGACTTGTCAAAAACTTGTTTTTTGTGTTTTCTTTTTTTTCCCAATTAAAATATTTTTTCTAAAGTCTGGCGTCTTTTTTAAACCTTGAATTTAACCCTTTAGTGAATGGGTAGGGGTTTAAGTTGCCCTTGTTCCATTCAGCACGGGGACAAGGTGCTTTTCCAGGGGTGACCCTGGAAAAGTACCCTCCCAGTGCTGAGGGCATGTGGCCTGGTATGGCGGTGGGGGGGGGGGGAGGCGCTCGCTCATCCCCCCCTTACCTGCCCTGCCAGGCCTGTGCTTGGATCAAGGATCTGGTTGGGAGTTCTAGGGGGGAACCTACATCTTTTTTTCCCCCCATTTGTGGGGAAGCAGTTCCTCCTTAAAATTCCTACCAGACCTTAAAGGAGAGCCATGGGGTCAGGGCTTTTCCCCATAGTTCTCCTGAGGGTCGCGGGAGAGCGCAAATTAGTGTTCTCCCGTGACCCAAAGCACTGTATACCGCGATCTGCAGCTCACGGTAAACAGAGACGCCAAAGTGAAAATCACTCACCTCATAGTTCTCCTTTAAGGGCCTGGTATGACTTTGTGGGGGAACCCCACACACTTTTTTTTTTTATTTAATTTAATTTGAGGTCCCTCCTAAAATTCCTACCAGGCCTAAAAGGTCTGGTATGGTGTGGGAGGGGGACCCCATGCTGTTTTTTTTTTTAAATGGGGTCCCTCCTAACTTTCATACCAGACTTAAAAGGTCTGGTATGGTTTGGGAGGGGGACCCCATGCTGTTTTTTTTTTTTTTTAAATGTTTTTATTATTTTCTTAACTTTTTAAATTTTTCTATTTTGTTTTACATTTTTTTTCCATTTGTTTACATTTATTTATATTCTGCACGCTACCAATAGACGAGCCGGTTATATCTAATGTTTTGGCTGAGGCTAGTGTGTTTGGTCATTATTTTTAGTATACATAACAAAAAAAACAAAGCGATATTAGCCAAATATGTAGCAAATGTATTCTATCATAATTCAGCACTTTCTACTAACTTAGCATCTTCTTCTTTCAAGGAAATCTATCATCAGAGAATCATGGCGGTTGCCATTGCTGATCTCCATTTCTGAAGAAGCTGAATGCCTGGCCATCATGCTGACCCTCTGGCTTCAAGACTGAAGATAAGGATTTCTGACTTTTCTCATCTGTACATGTGTCTCAGGCCAAGTGACAGCAGAAGATTAGAAATGGCAGTCCATATATTTCTCATGACAGGTTTTCTGACACTATAATATCTGACTTAGAATCTTCAGTTTTTGTCTTTACTTTGTTATTATAAGTTGTCATCACTGACCGTTTGTTTGTCCCTTCATTTCCTCTTTTTAAAGAGAACAAAAACAGTTTTCAGCCTTACCCGATATCTTTACAATAATTTCTACACCCATTTAGTTCACACTCAATATTTGTGTATCATTAAAGTGGTGATTTTCTTTAGTGCTGGCCACAAGGGTCATGATTAAATGCTCTTCCTCACAGGATCCACTCTTTTTGCCATCAACAATAAGAAAATAAAGCACAGACTACTTTTGTTACTGCTTAAAAGAGAGCTCCATGGAATATAACCAGAAAGGACAATGAGAAGTAGGTGTATATAATTACACAGTGGTTTTATTAACCAAATTATTTCGGTCCTTGCGCCTTCTACTTTCAGTCCCTGTTACTGCAAATGACAACCCCATAGACTTTATTGCTGCAACTAATTCCATTTATTTAAAAAAAAAGCAGACAGGAAGTGGACAGTACACGGATCAGAATAATTGCGCTAATGCTACTGCTGCACTCTATGCACAGTTGAAAAAGACAACAAAGATGTAACTAATTAACACTTTACACCTATCTCCTTGCTGTCTTTTCCAGTTATATTTCTTGGAAATCATTTTTGAAATCAATTTAAAGCCCCACTCTGGCCAGCAGGATAATTTACCCTTGCAGTGAGGCCTCCTTCTGGTGCCATCACATGCAACTCAGGACTCCTGAAATGTATAGTAGGACGGCGAGGGTCCATCCCCATTCTGTAGCATCAGACTGAACAGGAGAAGCAAGGGATAAGGAAAGTATTATTATACCGTACTTATTCTTTTACCCCTTCACCTAATGGGCATTTAACCCTTGCAGTATGGGAGCCCCACTAAAAGTGTATTTTGTTTTTTATATCTTTGAAGGACTCCAGGAAAATCAGAAATTACCCTTTTAATGCGGGGGTAGCCCCACTTGAATGCTTTGAAACGAAATTAAACAAATTTTTTGGCAGTGCACATGTCTACTTGTTTTGTCTGGGGGGCTCAAATAAAGTAGGTTTATCATCTGATCCTCAATCCTGCGGTGGTCAGTACTCTCCTTCCTCCCATTTCCCCCCGGCTATGGAATGTCCCTTGGCATCCTCATGTCTAATGCAAGTCAATAGACCTGCATAAGATGTGATGACGTCAGTGATCCTAAGGCCGCCAGAGCCCAGGGGAGAAGAGGCTGTGGGTCAGAATCCTTCATTAAAGCTGAACTCAGCTAAATGCATTGAGGAAATACATATATAAGAGCTGTTTCACTTCCCAAAGGATTTGTATTTCTGTCCATCCAGTTCTGTGACATGCAGTTAAGTAACACTTACAGGTCTTTTCCTTCCCCCACCCAGTGAAGACTGATACCAGGTGAAATTCTGAATTTGCTACTTACACTGTTTGCATTTTAAAAAACATAAATGTATTAATGTATAAAAAAAAAACTATAGCCAAAACTTTTTTTGGCTTTAGTTCTCTTTTGGGTCACAGGCGTACGTTTACTAGGGTACACCTGTGACCCAAAGTCAACTGTGCCCGCCTACTCCCCTGTCTGTTCCTCCAATGAGCGCTGGAGGAACAGACAGAGGGGAGGGGGGAATCCCTGACTGCCAGTCACCACTCTCTGCAGGGAGAAGCCATGAGCTGAGCCGTCAGCGGTCTGTGATCGTTCAGCTCTTGTGCTATAGAGGCGGCGTGTGAGAGCTGCAGTGTCACATGCCAGCTCAAACTAATGGGAAGAGTACATTTTACTCTCCCAATAGTTCTCATTTAATGAATACAAAGCTGCATTCATTTATGTATTTTATATCTGCCTGGAGTTGATGGTCTAGTAATTGGTGACCAAAAAGAAAAAGGAGAAATGGAGGAAGAACAAATTCACATGATGGATAAAGCAGAAGCAGGGAGATCCTTGCACTGCATGCCCTCAGGGGCAGCCTACTTTCCAGAAAGGAGAACAGTGAGTAGCACAGTAGTGACATCAAATCTTATACCAAATCTTGTGGGACTAGAAGTCAGAGGCTGCAGTGCTTTAGATGATCTCATGCTGCATTTATACAAACCATGAGGCTCTAGTAACAATAGTGCCTGGCCACAGTAAGTATATTGCTATTTTTTCCAGGAGGAATTCAAGACAAATGAAAAAAGATTTTCAGCAGCTGTTTAGTCATAATCAAAACTTCTAGATCCTTCATAAAACAGAAAATCTTTGAGAGTTTAAGTCCTTATTAAGTAAATTAAGAGAATGTTCCCACTTCTGCACTGTTTAAATATTTCCTGGATAGCATTTATAGCTCACTGATGGATCTGAATTAATAGTTCACTAGCTGCCTGAGATTGCTATTTAATACTACTGCCCTGTGACCCTGTTTCCTGGAGCACAAGCCCATCCACTGTCTGAGGCAAAGCTGTGATTGAGACCAAGGCAGATCTATTGCAAGCACACTGTCTGGTCTACCGATCTAATCATATTTATATCATATTAAATTCAATTACTACAAAGGTTGGAAAATTACAGTATAGTAATTATTAAAGAAGAACAGAATTACTGAAGCAAATTTCATTCCTGCTACTTCCTAAGTTTAAAAATGTCAGACGGAAACAAAAAGCTACTTGACTATAAAATTACCATCGATATATCACAGGCCTTCGTGTCCCACATAGTGAAGGCGGAAAAGTACTTTTAGCCTGAACTTTGATTTGGAATGGCAATAAAAATATATTAGAAGCAATCACTAAAAAC